TTTGAATTGTTTTCCTCGTTTAAAGCTAGTTATTCTTGCGCGGCCTTCTTACTTACTTAGCGTGACCATACAACCGCGCTCGTCATTTATTTCAAAAATGCGTTATATTTGCGCTTTTATGCTAGCTCAACTTGGCGGGAAAGAAAATCCAACAGATTCAGATATTAAAAACATACTCGGATCAGTTGGTATAGAATGCGACAATAGTCGTCTCTCAAAGGTACCTATAAATATTAATCGAACTTTAGTTGTTGTCTCAACTCAAGGGCAAGAATGTTGAGTCCCTTATTTCCGAGGGCACCAAAATGTTGTCATCTTTTGGCGGTCCCGGCTTAGTTGCCGCACCTGCTGCTGCGACCACCGTACAGGCGCCCGCTTCTAAGGCAGTAGACAAGCCAGAAGAGATAACTAAGAAAGCGCCCAAGTCAGAATCGGAGGAATCTGACGATGATATGGGCATGAATCTTTTTGATTAATACAAATATATAATTGGCTGATTTCCCTCTTGTCCTCGTACCGTTGGCCGTCACTGGTTATCTTGACTCAGCTTACTGGAAGGTCCGCTTCTGCCCCCATGCTTTGTTTATTACTTAATATGCAAATCTTTTTAACCTTTACTTATTGCCAAATCTATCCGCAATAGCCACCGCAGCTTTTTCTACCACTCGTGCAATAACTCCTTAGATTGTCATTTGCCCTTCGGGTGGCTTTTATAATCTCACTCTTGCGGGTTCCATGATCTCGGGGATTCCTCATTACTAGATAACTGGTTAGGTAGGCCGTGCACGGCGTTGTATCTGCTTCCGCTTATCAATCTCTTTACTGATCGTTCTGACACCTGATTCCAGCTTAGTTAATGTGGCTGCATCTAGATGCCTTTACCTGCCTAACGATCCTCTGTTGCCTTGTGTATTACAATTTTATACTCTATTTTTTGCTTAAAAAATCCTTTAATCCCATTTTATCATTGACATGTCGCTGAGCCACTAGTTAACCTGAGCCATTATTGCTCGCTTATCCCTGCCATAGGTTAGGTTCAATGGAAAAAGTGTGTGCATCATTTTATATTATTTTCCAGTTAGGTTGTAATGTACATGTACAATCGGCTTCCGAGCA